ATGCTTATGCATTGAGATGGATCAAAGCAGCTTTCTCTTTTAAATTTGTGCATCTTGAGGTACAGATGCACACATTAGAAAACAAGCACACGTTGTGTAACTTCTACCACAGCCTTCTGCAACAAGTAGAAATTAAGTCCAGGATGATGATCTTAGGCAGTGGAAGACTTACAGTTTAAATGTTTTGAACTCTTCCTTAAGAGAGAGAACCAAACAGCCACTGAAGTAAAGTGAAAAAGGTTCTTATTTCGATGGATGCTAGATCTACCTCTAAAGGAGTCAGAGTTCCTACAGAGACTGCGTGAAACAAAAGACAACTTCTGCATGTTACTAACAGCTCTTAACTGAGACTTGGCTCAGATATGCAAACAGATGATAGTGGTACCAACTTTTGGCAATGCATTTCAATAGAGAGAATAATTGGATAGGATGCCCAACAAAACACACAGTTGAATTTCCCAGAGATGAAAGTTCATGAGGGGAACAAATAAAAGCAAAGCAAATTAATACAAGATTTTCAGCTGTTTAAAAATATTTAAAATAAAATTCCCTTAAGTGAAATCTGGAGCAGTGAACTAGTCTTTACAAATACACAGGCAAGTGTGACCTGGAGAGTCAGAATGAGGTACCGATGATATGGTTACTTTATTAATGCCATCTATAATGAATTGAACAGGCAAACGCAGTGAATGAATAGAATGCAAATACTCTCAGATGAGCAGGGCAAGTGCACCTTATTTTATGTAATTGCCCTAATTTCCAGATACCAAAATACTGTGGCTAGTAGGTCACTCTGAACAATACACAAATGTTTCCTAAGACAGTTAAAGACAACAAGCTTCCTGGTATTCAAGGCAAATCCAAAATCATGCTATCCAATACTCAAACAACAGGCTAAAACCATAAATACAAGTCTCAGTCCTATGAGCGAACACATTCTCTGAAGCAAAACCCTTTTTTACAGAAAAAAATCTTTGCTTTAAGGCTTTGATGTGGTGCCTCTTTGTACCAGTTTAATTTATAGGCAAGTAAGTTTAGAAAGGACTCCAATATCAAACCAGAATGCCTGTCAAGAGTTAAACCTCTCCACTTATTACACACTATGTTGGAGTTCAACTGCAGCAAAAACATTCTTTTAGACTACATAAACCATTCTCCCTCATCTCATTTCCTCTAAGATACCCCAATTTGAAGTGATAATTCAAAGAAACACCAAAACGTTATGATTTTAAACAATGAACAAAACAGGTTATGGTGAGATTAAAGTTTATCACCTTCTCAACCCATCTTCCTTTCACCTTTCTGGCTCTCTTCTCCCTTTAGCTTTTCCAGGTTTCTCCTCTCTCCTACTCTGCACATTGCATCATCACTGGAAAAAAGGGTCCCAACAACACTAAGTGATGTCTCACTTAGCTACTGAATATTGTCCAATTAATATACTGCATAATATAAATCAACATTCAACCTTAGGTTTTAGTCAGAAATAAGACAGTGGTTGATACTAAGGGTTAACATAATGGTGAAGTCAACAGTACACTACTTAGGAACTGTAGTGCCATTCAATTTAAGTTTCCTGCATACAAGATGGTTTCAGCTACATATTTTTGAAGACAGAGGTTTAAAGGGAACGGCAGAAGTGCTGTTAGCAATAGTTCCCTATCCTCTATACCGAAAAACTGAGGTTCAAGTCCTGTAATGCTGCTGCAAGTGCCTGCCTATTTTGTACATGGACAAATTTGGCAGGGGGCAAAATAACTTTACAGAATGCAGGCTAGTGGCCATCTAAAGGCAGGATTTACACTGATATTGTACCAAAATGTTAACAGAAACACAAAAATAAATCCAGAAATTGCCTTGCAATGTTAGAGTATTAATCCCATAACCTTTTATAATCAAGGATCCAGTTAGGACTTCATGACTGACTTGTTCCAAATTATTCAGTCCAAGTCTCAGTAGCTACATAAGAAATTGGCAGCGGTAGTACTGTATGTGTACTCCATGCTTGAGAATGCCAAGTATTAGTAAACCAAGTATAGCCGCTAGAGTTCCAGTGTGAAAATAACCCTTTAAATAAAACTTACTAAGACCAAGCACACTTAGGCACAGAAGCTATGTCATGGTAGAATTCTTTTCAGCAGAGATATCTTTCTTCCTTACTCCCATTGCTGCAACAGCTAGTCCTTTCCCAGGGATCCAAATTGGGCCAGGACTAAACCTTTTAACGTAACTGCTTTAAATGGTTTAAGCTAAGGTGACTTTGCTATGTAACCCATTTGAAAAGAGTTGTTTGATTTCTTAAATTCCTTTATTTGACTGTGTGGCAGTCCTGAGTGCCCTTAATGCTGAAAAAATAAAAAAAATAATAAAAGAAATCAACCTGTGCCCAGGTGTCATATTGCTGGTGGAAGCATTAGCAACATTTACACAGGTAGTCCTTATTACAGTCCATAACTCAGATAGCTTATGACAATGGCACCAAATTCTGATCCATAAGAAGCAGCCATTTTTATGAAGAACCACCTTGTGGTGCCCAGTGCAGCAGCTGTCTCAGGAAAACATGGGAGAAAGTTATAATGGTACCATCAGGAAATCTTGGAGCACTGAACTTCATGTCATGTGAGGACCAAGGAAAAATCCTCTTCTTCCAGATCCATTACAGTCAATAAGAATATCCAGAAATACCAAATTTCAAGTGTGCTAAATGTAAAATTGGTGGAATGCTAGCTGGTCCATAAAGGGCTGCACCAAGTTGTCTGTGGCAAAGTAGAAGACAAGCCCAAAGGTTATGGAGATTGGAAGAGCTGGTAAGGCCTTCTTGAAGATGGCAAGCAGCAGGAGAGTAAGGCACAGACCCTGAAGAGAAAGATAAGGGGAAAATTATATGGTGGAAATCTAACCAACAAAGAGATAGATTATAGACCACTTTAAGCTTAAAAAGCTAACAAAAGGGTCAGTATGATATATTTTTCTTTTCCTTGGGTGGCTATTTCCATCAGTTAGAACAGTACAGAAACTAACTCAAATGGTCCAAGTTTGGCAAAATACTAGAACTTGCTTTGCAAAGCCCAGTGGGACTTTTATGGTTTCCTGAGTTAAAGCTAAATACTGATCTCCCACTGAAATCCACTGCAAAGCTCTCACTGACTTCAGCGATAGCAGAAGCAGGCACTAAATCAAACATATGGAGTTCCCAGTGGATTAAACTGCTATGGCTTTTGGTTAGAGGAATGCAATGAAACATCATCATTACTCAGTGATATTATACTCACAATTAGTATGGCTACAAAACATGCTAAAGTTGTGTTCCAGTCTCCATTTGCTGTTGCTGAGGCTTTGCCAACCAAAACACTGTAGAAAATGAAGTCTCCTAAACCGAGCTTCACTCCCCCTATAACGGAAAGAAAAAAAAGGGAAAGCATTAAGTAGTACCTGTTTGTTAATCTTAGCCAAAGGCCACAGAGGACAATATGACAAACGATTTAAAAAATACAACTTAAGAGCATCCCCAAGTCACAACTTCTAAATTAAAGAAAAGCAAGGGTTAGAAATACCAGTCATTAAGGAAACTTGCTTTACAATAAACTGGAGTTTTTAATGTGCAACTATAGTTGAAGGTGCGCGGGCCTCACATGCTTATGTTGTTCCGTAGTACCTTACACCCCGTCTCTTTGTGCTTCATACTAATAACATACGAGGCAATAATTTGTCTGGACAATGGACTGTTTCCTCTGAGAAGCGTTATATAGGTGTAAAGGATTCTGAAGAAGGGAGGGCATGTTAACAACTCATGTCAAAGGCCTCCAGTTTCTCTCCTTTGAGTGGTGGTCCATTTGCACATTCTACTGGGAGTGGCTCCAAAGCAGTAGCCAGTCTATGCAAAGAT